TGATTCAATAAATAAAATAAATTTAAAAAAATAAAAAATAAAAATATACTTTACCGATGGGAGGAAAAAAAAAAAAAGAAAATTAATTCAAATGTCTTTTTAAAAATGCTTATAAGAGCATGTATTAATGCATAACAGTAAAGTAACTGAATGAACACAATATAAACATTACACAGTCAGATAATCTCAACTTTCACTCTGCAGAAAAAAAATTTACTTTGCATTGATTACACATTCACAAATGTACATGGGTACTTCAAAAAGTTCGTGGAAAGATTTCCATCATCTTTCAATTATATTTTTCCACAAATTTTTTGAAGTATCCTCGTAGTGTGACAGTGACCAAATCTACATGCAAGGACAGGTAATGTTCTGTGTTAGTCATGATCCATTTTAAAATAACATATCTTTCTCGAGATGTTCAGGTTCCTAAAAAAACCTACATTTTCAGTGAATGACCTAGTAAATTAAAGATACAGTTTTATTTCATGTATTGAGTTTAAGTGTTTAAGATTACACAGAGTTACAAAAAACATCCCCAAAAAGAGGTCCCTGGGAATTCATATAAGATACTAAAAGATATCTCTTTACATTCATGGCCCCTTTTAGCAATGACCTAGAAATTAAAATGTCCTATTTATTAATTTATCTACAAAGGTAAAGATTTTCTTTCAAATGTTTTTTTTTTTTTTTTTGTCCTTTTTGAGACTGGCCACACCGCGCTCAGCCAGTGAGCACTGTGAGCGCACCGGTCATCCCTATATAGGATCTGAACCTGCGGTGGGAGCACTGCTGCGCTCCCAGTGCCGCACTCTCCAGAGTGCGCCAGGGGCTCGGCCCCTTTCAAATGTATTTTGATTGTATTCATCACATAGTAGTCATTAGCTAAAGATGTAAAAGTGAGACTCTCAGGTAAGGAATACAAAATTATAATTCAGTATAATGAGGCAGGCAACTGCCAACTAAATCTTAAAAGGCGAGATAACTTAGCTGTGGTTGTAAAATCCAAGCAGACTTGTAAGATGGCTTATGTAGATTAGTTAGACTTCTGAGATAGCTGGTCAGATAGATATCATTAGAACTGTGTGCAGCAATTGTCAAAACGATGAGGAAAATATCAGTCATATACCTTGTACTGAGAAATAAACACTACTATAAGTCAGCTGCTAGAGTCTAAAATCACAGATGTCTTACTACACAATAGAAAGTTCATTAAATTTTATCTACATTAAGGAATTAATAATTTCATTAAAGGGTTTGGCTATTTAAATAATTCTTCTTTTGCTGCTGTTGTTCTTCAAGTCTCTGTGATGCAATAATCACACTCCCAATATATTTGTTTTTGCAAAGCTAATATTTTCATCCATCTGGCTGAAATATAAAGTCAACCAGTATTATTTATACTATATTATACCTATAGTCCATACATGGGTTCTGTAAGGAATTATTTCTAAGTGTACATTAACTACCTTATTTCAACTCTGTCAGAGTAGAATTCTTGTTCTTATTAAAGAGAATTATGTATGTTCCAGCTCTAATCTCTAACTTATCCCCTGAAAGAGTGGGATAAGTTTATATCCCACCATGACCATGTTCCAAAATGAATATCAGATGAGTTACTAAATAAATCTACACACTAATCTACTTAAAATTCTATAGAGGAAAGAGATACATTTAATAAAGTTTACCAATAAAAATGATTACCTAAAAAATTATTTTATTCCAGATTAAAATTAAGCATGCCCTTTGCAAGAAAGATGATAAAAATTTGTATCTTCTATAAAGGGTGAAGGAGGTGTGGCTTAATTCTTCCACCTCTATAGATGTCTGTCATTCTAGCCACAGAGTCAAAGAATCTATTACATAAGACTCCAGACAAAGTGTTCCTTTAATTAAATAATAAATAATTAAAACACCTCTGAATTTTACTGTAAGCAAAAGAAATGTAACTTCAAATACCTAATCATCTATATCTAAAATCACCTAACAGAACAAGGTCTCACTTTATTTATTATGATTGATGTTTGTCACCTAGAGGATGTCACTTCCCTCAAACCTCTACATTGAGATTTTCTAGGGTTTACACTTTAGCATTTAAGGATGCCAACTTCCATTCAGAGTTTCTTTTAGAAATTGATAAGGAGAAGCAAGAAACTTTTACATTGCTTTATGTCTCTTTTCTATGTATTAACTATGTATTAATTTTATATTTAGATTGGAACACTACATATTTATGTAACAAGATAATATAAACTTTAAAAAATAAAGATAACTATTCAAAACAAATTATTCTATCACTATTCCTTTGAATCATAAATTTAAAAGCACTGTTTTGAAAGGTGAAAAAGATGCCATACAGGCTACAGTTCAATATATTTCAGATACAAATACGCAGGTTCATTTAATTATACATAAGTTTTATTTAAAGAAAAACAAGGTATATGGCCACAGCATTTCAATTAAGGAGTTAGAAAAAAGCAAAGTGCTTCGTGGTTCTCCAGTTACCATTCAAATAATAAACTTTTTAACGTTAAAATAAAGTGTAGAAGAAATAAGTTCTGTAAGTAGACTGAGCAATACAAATTCAAAATACAACTCTGTCTTCCTGTGTTCTTTCCCACCAAAGTGTGCTGTTTAAAGTTCCACAACTATTATCTTCTTCCTCTTGTTCTTTAGTGAGTTCTACAAAAACCTAGATGAAAGGAAATAAATGAATATAGTATTCTGTACCTCAATTATCTCAAAGAACTTTTAACCAAATCAGAAATGATACAAGACTATATCTAATTACATTAACAATTACCAAAAGAGATTTATTGATATCAATACTATTCAAACAGAATAAGTTATCTCCATTAATTACATACAAAGATGGATGTTATTTTAGAGAATTAATAATTTCTTTTGATTAATATTTTAACTGCCACAAAATAATTTATAAATATTTAAACAATGTAATTTCAGATATGCTAACAACTGAATACCATTATCATGACTAACTTTCTTTACCAAACTGAAAAAATTGAGCTATTCAAAATAAGCAAATGGAAATTATCTTCATTTAATTATTCCGCAATGTATACATATATAAAAACATCACATTGTACCTCATAAATGCACACAAATATAATTTTTCAAGTAAAAGTAGTATTAATAAAAGTAAATCAGATTTTTAAAAAAACAAAGTAAGCAATGAAGAACCTAAAGTTTTTTAAAATTATGCAAAATAGATGATTCTATAACACTTTGTCTCTGGTTCATAATCTCTCTCCCTTTCCAATATAAACATAAACAATTGATTAGATACTTTCTTCCATAAAATAAGTTTTAAAAATTTCACTTTATTGTACCTGTTCCAGTGTTGCTTGAGAAAAGCTATATTCTTCAATGGCAAAAGTATGTTTAGCTATTAAAATATAAAGACAATATTTTACTTATCAACAGTTTTAAAGAATAAAATGGCACTAAGATGCCTACAGTCTCTGCTAAAAAAAACCAAACTCTAATCGGCTCATTTAAATTTGAAGCTTCCACTCATGTCATTTTCCTCTCCCTATCTTGCTTGCTTCCTTTTTCTTACTCACGTCCACAATTTCTCTATAGCCTTCGGCACTATGTGTTTAATGTTACTTTTCTTATTACACCTTTTCTATCTCCTCTGTTCCCCTCTACTTTCTTCCTCTGTTGTTCTTTTCTTTCATGTTTCTTTTGATCCCTACTCTTTATCTCCCATTCCCCAACTCCACTGTAGCCTGTTCTTGCTTCTTGAACTAGATCTTGGATTTATGTCATATATCCATAAACTTTTCTTATTTTATATTTTTTTGCAATCTAATCTAATACCAAATGTCTGCTGTTCTATTCATTCCTTTAATTTAACTTTCCCTAAGTAAAGCTCATAAAGAAATCAACAGGAAAGCAGAAACTTTACCTGACTATGTGAACACATATATTATAGGCACAAAAATCATTAGTACTTTTAGGCAAAAAAACATCAGTCTGCAGCTGTGGTGTAGATATGTGAGGTATCAAGAAATAGTTTTGTATTCACATAAAGAACAATCATAAAAATCCTATAGTTATTTTGAAAGGTATTCATGATAAACCTTATGTGTAAATATAGGTTGTAACAGCTTATAAATACCATTAAAAAGCTGTATATGAACACTTGCCCCACCCAGGAGCTTATCTCTGTCTACTGCCACCAGCATATATTTATCCTATCTACTGCATTTTTTGAAAATGCCAAGATTCAATAATCTTCTTTAAAACTCTGGGAAATGTCTGCCCTCCTGCACTATGAATTCTCTTCTCCTCTCTCCTGCTGCCACTAGAGTCTTGATACCATTGACATTTCTATGGCCCAGTATAAAGTAACTATTCCAGAAACTCAATGCTCCTGCCACTGGACTGAACTGCTGAGAGATTAAGCTGACCTTTTTCATAGATGGAATGTGATAAACTGTGGTGATATCCACTAAAGACTGTAAAAGTTTTACACTACAATATAGTTGATCTACCAAATCCCTGTCACATTAGTATTTATCTATATCTTAGATTAAATGAATAAAAAGTTATCTTCCTATTTGCCATAGTTGCTACAATAAACTGAATCCCAGGTTCTAAATTTTTTAAATAAAACTCTTCCATAATTTGAGAGCTACCTTACAATCTTTTTCAAAAACTACTCACCTTCTTCCAGTTTAGAAAAAGATTGTGAAAGGGACTGAACATCTTCCTTAGGAATTTTATAAACCAAAATAGAAGAAAAACTGTAAACAAACATAAGAAAAAATATAGAAAAATTCAAAAATTACTACTATTGTGTTCTAAAACTAAAGTTCAAAATTTTTAAAGTTCAAAAGTAAACTCTAGTAATTTGTTTCGATATTTATTTGGGAAAAGACTAATTGAAATAAAATATTTCCATATACAATAAAATAACTCTATCTTTACTACTGAATAAGAACTTTAAAAAGTTTAATTACTATCAAATATTGAAAGATCTAACACTAAGGTAGATATAAAACTCCAGCCATCAGACTTAGTCAAATATAGTGATAACTGGCCATTTTAATATGAGATACACAGGCAGATAGATATTATAAATTAAGACAGTATTTTTCTTAATCTTTAATATAATAAACTTTTACGATTATTGCTCTATAAAGAAATATAATTATATTTTAAAATTAAAAAAATTTTTACCTCTCCTGACGTCTTGCATTTGGAAAAATATACAGAATTTCTCTTTGAAGGCGGTCTACTTCTAGGTTTTCTATCCAGTCTTTTAATTTAATTTCCAAAAAGTAGCCTTTTCCAAATTTACTCTTTAGATGTTGTGCTGTTCCAATACATCTGAAGTAATTTTTAAAAGAAAGCTCAGATATAAAATGACTTGACAGTTTCAAAGAAAGATTTCTCAAATCTCTACCATTTTTTAAGTAAAATTATGTTGGAATACTTTTTACATTTACAGAAAAGTTACAAAGATAATACAACATCCCCATACAGCCCTCATCCAGTTTTAGTTTCCCATATCTTTCTTACAACATCTTATATTATTAACATGGTACATTTGTCAAAATTGAGAAACCAACATTATTGCATTACTGTTAATGAAACTCCAGACTTCATTTGGATTTCACCAGTTTTCCAGTAGCATCCATTTTCTGTCATGTCTCCTTTTTCTTCAATAGCTGGTGACAATTTCTACTTTTTCCTTCTTTTTCATGACTTTGACAATTTTGAGAAGGACTGGTCAACTATTTTGGTAAAATGTCCCTGAATTTGGGTTAGTCTGATGTTTTTCTCACTATTAGTTTGGGGTTATGGGTTTTGGAGAGAATACCACACAGCTGAAGTATTCTTATCACATCATATCAGGAGGTACATGACATCTGTATAACACTGCCTAGTTAAGGTAGTATTTATCAAGTTTCTTAACTGTAAAGTTATTATTTTTCCCTTTCTGAACTCCAATCTTTATGAGACTGGCTAAGTCCAGGCCAAATAGGGGGGTAGGAGATTAGGCTTCCCCTCATAGAGTAGGGTAATATCTACATACATTATTTGGAATCATTCTGTAAGAAGGAGTTGCCTCTTCTCTCACATTTATTTATTTATTCAATCATTTAGTCAATAATTTATTTATGTAAATGTGAACTCATACATTTATTTTATACTTTGCATTATAAGCCAATACAAGCCTAACAATTTCTGAAAATAACAAATATCATGCCTAAAAATAACATTCTAAGTTACTGAATAACTAAGCCAATTCCAAATGTAAAGTAGCTAGCCATTTTTTGGAAAAATTAACATATAACGTTTTTAAGTAATTCTATAGAAAACTAAGTGATTCAAAGATATTAAGTTTTGAAATAACATTCAAAATCCAACCTCACTCTCCTTCCCTAAATGGCATGCTGATTAGACATCTACCTTAACTGACCAGACACCATGATAGCCACTCGGTCACAGACAGCCTCTGCCTCCTCCATATAATGAGTGGTCAGAATAGCAGCCCGCTTTTTGTTTTTAAATGCAGTTTGAATTGCTCGCCTATAAAACATAAATAAAATAAAAAGAAGAAAGAACACATAAGAACACATTTGTTTGCTAATAAAAATATTGGGTTTTTCATATACAAAAATCAACTCAAAATGGATTAAAGTCCTAAATGTAAGACTTGAAACTGTGAAACTGCTAGAAGAAAACATGGGGGAAATGATACATGAAATGGGAATGGGTAGTGCTTTTTTGAGTGAGAGTATGAAAGCACAGGTAACTAAAGCAAAAATACACAAACAGGGACTACATCAAACTAAAAAGCTTCTGCACAGCAAAGTGAAGAGACAACCTACAGAATGAGAGAAAGTGTTTGCAAACTACAAATCAGACAAGGGGCTAATATCTAGAACATATAAGGAACTCAAACTGCTCAACAGCAAAAAACCCAATTAAAAACTGGGAAAGGACCTTATACTTGTCTGTTTCTGCTGCTTATAATTGAATACCTGAAACTGGGTAATTATTAAGAAATAAAATTTACTTCTTACAGTTTTGAAGGCTGGGAAGTCCAAAGTCCAGGGAGCACATCAGGTAAGGTGACTCTACAGTGACCAGGGTGTCACATGGTGAAAATGGGCTGAACAAGAGTAAGCTAACCACTTCATTTGCTCTTCTTGTAAAGCCATCAAAACCACAACAGTACCCATTAAACCATCAATGAATTATCCATTTACAAGGGGTATAGTCCTCACAATCTAATCACTTCTTAAAGACCACACCTTTCAATTACCATAATAGGATTTCCTACCCTCTTAACACCGTTACAATGGAGATTAAGTTTCAACAACATGAACTTTTGGGGGACACGCTTGACCCACAGCAGACCTGAACAGACATTTCTCAAAATAAGACATAAAAATGGCCAACAAGCACATGAAAAAATGTTCAAAATCACTAATCATCAGAGAAATGCAAATTAAAACCACAATGAGATATCATCTCATCCCAGTTAGAATGGCTATTATCAACAAGATGGAAAATGACAAATGCTGGCAAGGATACGGAGAAAAGGGAACACTCCTACAATGTTGATGGGAATGTAAATTGGTACAGCCACTGTGGAAAACAGCATGAAGTTTCCTCAGATAACTAAAACTAGACCTATGTTATGACCCAGCTATCCTACCACTGGGTATGTACCCAAAGGAAATGAAATAAAAACATCAGAACAAGACCTACATTCCAATTTTCATCACAGCACAATTCGCAATAGCCAAGAGATGGAATCAACCTAAATGCCCATCAACTGTGGTATAAATAGCTAATGCAATACTATTCAGATATAAAAAGAAATCATAACCTATCATTTGCAGCAACATGGATGGAACTAGAAACCATCATGTTAAGTGAAGTAAGTCAGGCACAGAAAGACAAATACTGCATGATATCAATAATACATGGGATCTAAAAAAAAGAAAAAAGGTGGTTCTCATAGAATTAGAGAGTAGAATAATGGTTACCAGGGGCAGTGGCAGCTGGGGGAGAAATGGTGGACTAACAGGTACAAAACTATACTATCTACCCTAAGTGTATCTTTGTGCAGTATATGCATGCACTGAAACAACACACTGTACCCCACAAGTGTACAAATAAATGTTAAAATAAAAAATAAATGAAATAAATTTTTTAACAATTGGGCTTTTTAAAATCCAATTATTTGGTTAATTTGGCTAATTAAAACTTAACCAAATATCAATTGGTATAACTATTATATCCTGCCCAACTGTGATTTTTCTATTCTAATTTATTTTCCCTTAACTTTGAAAGTTTATCAAATGAAGAAAAATTCATGGAAAAGAAATTCCATGATTTTAAGTTTATATGGGTTAAAGTATGATAATCAATGTATCATAAAAATTGATGCCTTTTCATGCTGTAACAAAAATAGCTATAGAATAAGGAAATCTTAAATGCATCTAAACCAAACCTTACATCTTATAAACATGGAATAAAGGCTCAAAGAGTTGTTTAACTAATTAGCACTTAAATTATTAGAAAGAGTTCCAACATAAATTCGATACAATATTATTGAGAAAGATAATTTATATGTTAAATGACTAGAAAATTTTTTTTAAAAACTATGGAGACAGCAGAATTATTTATTTTAATAACCACCCATATACTCATTTCTGTTCTGGAATATATAGAATATCATGAACACTTCCTGAAAAATATGATAAAGTGTAAGTCTAGAAATCTAAATATTTAATTTTAATTACTATTTTATCATTTGTATAGGATTTTAAATCAAGACGTAATAGAAAACTACTAGTTATAACCAAAGAAACTATTCCTTTATTCTAAAGTATGATATAATATAATGTGTCACAGTATCTTCAGTGTCATACTCACCACATGTGCTGCTTGGCTTTAGGGTCCATACCTGTAGATGGTTCATCTAGCAGAGTAATCTGAGGATTCCCCAGCATACTTAGAGCAAAACACAACTAGATGGGGAAAAAAAAGGAGGGAGTAGAAGGAACCATAAGGAATCTATCAAGACAGTATCAGGCACTAAACTATCAATAAAATATAGATGCATTTGTTGTATCATGAAAGTACCTTTCGCTTGATTCCTGCAGGTAGTTTCTTTGTAGTTTTCTGAAGATGCTCTTTGAAGTCAAGTACATCTGTTATTCTGCAAAATGAAAAATACAAAATGAGTGTGTCATGATATATATATATAAATACAAATATAAATTATGTGTGATCAGGGACAATGTCTTTTCTAGAACAGTTACTCAGTTGAAGCTTACTATAATTAGGTAAGAACAAAACTTTCTAATTTACATCATTTTAAACAAATTCGTATCTTGAAAAAATGTTTCACTTTAAATTAGAAGAAGCTTCACCACATTTGTAGGTATGTTGATTCTGTAAATAGAAATAGAAATATTGTCCTTTATTTATCTACTTATTTATAGCTATCATAATTCTGTAAAGAATATATGGAAAAGTAATAATCATTTTCTATGATAATTATTATCCACAGAAATGCCTGTTATCAAATTTAAAAAATATGAAATGTAAACCTTTCCCTAAGTAATAAAAAGAATCTAAAGACAACTATTTTACCGGTTTATGACTTCTTTCATATCACTTGTACTCATTCCTTTCACAGCTCCATAAATTTCAAAATGTTCCTGCAATGTAATATCTGGCCACAGTGGGTTTATCTGAGGACAGTAACCAATACACTTAATGGAGTCATCTTCAGTTGCACCTGAAGAATAGTCTCCTAGAAATACCTACAGAAATACAAACCAATTTTTAGTAACTATTTTTGCTTAATTTACATTGTGAAGAAAGTGGCAAGTAGATTAATTCAAACCTCTTTCTACACTAGAGTAATATCAGGTCAAATTTTTATTCCTTTTTGATGATGGAAGGACATATACAGAGCAAAGTCACAGTTTAGTGACCTGAACAGAAACCGTGATTATAGTGCTGGGTTGGATGGGAAAGCAAGCTGTAGTTTTACTAGAAAGATCACGGTGCTTCACTGGAAGGTCATATTTGAGAGCCAAGGAGGTAAGAGAATTTAGTCACTTGAATTTCTAGGGGATAAGGTATAGTCAACATAGGAGAAAGCTTGGGCAAAAATTGAAAGAAAAGAGAATGTCTGGTATATCTAGGAAAGCATTGAGTTAGTGTGGCTGGTGTGAAGTAAGCAAGGGGAAGAGAAGCAGGAAACAGGACCAAGGAAGTTTTGTAGAATTTCCATAAAGTGGTGGGTGAACCACTGATAATCAAAAACTGATGGCAGGGTAAAGACTAGTTTCCATATCTCTTGATGTTATTACAATTGTTTCCCATTTAGTTGGTGGATAAATAATCCATACATATAATAGTTATAAAACTGAAATGTTGTATATGTGTTTGCATGAATGTGTGTATGAAAAACATACATTACTTTCACAGATAACCAAAAACAACATAATTTGATCAAGATATGCTAAAAATACTAAAAATATACAAAAAATTTGAGCATCGAAATCCTAATTTGTCATTAAGAAACTTATCTTCATTACATATGTAAATCATATTCAACATATGCCTCACCCTTGTATATCATACCTGGCCTGAAGTTGGTTCAACATCACCAATGAGAATATTAATAATTGTGCTTTTGCCTGCACCATTTGGACCCAATAGTCCCAAGATCTCTCCTAAAGACATTGAAAGGAAAAAAAAATTATATTCAAATCAAACTAAAAATGGAAATTACTCTTCTGGAAAAGTTAGTTAAGAAAAAATAATTAAATACTAGCCTTTTTTCACACAGAAAGAGATGTATTTAGTTGCCACTTTCTTTACTTTTCTTGAAAGAAGAAAATCTTTCTTGTCATCATATTCTTTATGCAAACTGCTGACCATAATGGCTGGTTTCTAACAAGGGAAACAGGATTTAAAAAAAGAGTTATAAACCAGATATCTATCATTAAGTGACAGGCTACACATACCTCATGTCCATATCATAAGAACTATATTTGCTAATAAGGACGTATTGTACAAATAAATAACCATTTATGACTAAAATCATGGCTTATTCAAAAGTAAATAGACAAAAATAATTTTTCAAGAAAGATTATTTTCAGGTTGATTCATATGCAAAAAAAAATATTTTTCAGATTAATACCTATATACTGGCAAGTGATCATTTGACATTTCATATGACCTAGCCATCAAGACTAAATTACCTCCTCACAACACTGGCAACTGATCAGCTCTTTAACCTTTAGTCTTTCAGCTTTGACATCTTCATCTTCATTTTCATTGTTTGGTGGTTCTGGAAACTTCCTAATTTTGGACTTTGTTGAAAGGGTCCTACATATGTAAAGATAGTAGATTTTCGAATAATTAAAATAGTAAGAAATCCAAGCATTACATAAGGAAAAGATTTTTTAAAATATACAACCATGATACCTAGGGTTATCTCTGAAAGTTGGAATTATAAGTGATATTTGACTGACAACATTTGAATAATATTATCTAAATTCATTCATGTATTCAACAATATTATATATGACTAAGTACATGGTCAGGTGTCATTCCACATAAAGACAGAATGATGAAAAAACATGGCCCTATTCTGTATACTTAGGGAATTGCTCAATCAATTTCTTTTCTCTTTCCATATCTTTCCCTTCTGTATCTTAATAGGGTATTTTCTGGAGAGTGGTGGGGTCATCTTTTTCCCACATATAACAGAACCCAAAAATCTCATTTGAACATGAATTCATCTCTACCTCTTATACCATTACTCTCCCTCCTTTCATAGCTGAAAACCTTCCATCTCCAGTTACACATCTCCCATTCACTCCTTAATTCCCTGTAATCTGGTTTCTGCCCTTACCTCTCCATTAATATTATTTTCTGTAAGATAACTAATGATTTTGTATTTGCCTTGTCTAATAGCTCAATTTAACTAATCTTCAGCCTTTAATATGATTGGTTTTTTCCCTTGATCCTTTGTTTTTCATAATTTCATCTCCTATTTTCCTCTCTACCTCTCTTACTATTACTTTAAAATTTCCTTTACAAATACTTCTTCCTCTGCCTACTCTTAAAAATGCTGTTCCCATGGGTGCTGACTTCAGCCCTCTACATTTACTCTTTCTGGGCAATTTCATTTTTATTAAGGCTGTAAATTCTTTAAAGGCAGGGTCCATATTTTTTCATCTTTCTATCTTTATTTCAGCATATAATTAGATTCACCAATAGTTATGAGTTTTAGTAGACAGGTCAAACAGATATAGACATTGAGGATGCTGAAAGGGGTGATGAATGTAAGTGACAAATGATGTGAGCAAGGCTGGTTAGAGGAAAAAGTAAAAATGGGGATATTTGGGAGAATAGGAAAAACTCAAGGGTATGAAATCATAGAAGGAAAAGTCCAACAGGACTCATAAAATAAGAGAAGAAGAAAGATGGAAAGTTATTGGTAGAGTTGGACAATCAAGTTTAAGATTTTACAGATGAAATAAAGAACAGTGATGTCATGGCTCTGATGCAAACAAATGGGTGAAGTAGAATAGAGGCAAGTCACTGGCTTGGAGAAAATCAGAAACTGAAAGGTTAGAGTATTAGAAAGGTTATCATGAGGGTGGTCGCCTTCCCCAAGTTGACAGCAGGAATATGGACAAAGAGGAGGCAGAGTCAGATGCTACAGTCTTTAACAAACGGGGGAACATCCAGTGGTTAGTAAATAACAATTATACATTTATTTATACACTCTAGTTTTCTATAATATGTTAATATTCAGCAAATAAATTTAAAAAAAAACATATGAGTAATATACAAAAGAAATTCAGAATTAATTTAGTACCGACAGCCATATTTCAAATGTACAACTTGAAGAAAATATTTGCAAATCATATATCTCATAAGGTACTTATATCCAGAATATATAAAGAACACTTACAACTCAGTAATATAAAAACAAATAACTCAATTTTTTCAAATGTGCAAAGGATTTGAATAGACATTTCTCAAGAGAAGATCTAAAATTGGACAATAAACACATGAAAAGGTGCTCAACATCATGAATCATTAGGAAAATGCAAATCAAAACCATACTACTAGAATGGCTAAAATAAAAAAGACAAACAACAACAAGTTTTGGCAAGGATGTGGAAAAAACAAAACCCTCTTAGAGGAAATATACTACTGCTTTGGAAAACAGTCTGGCAATTCTTCAAAAGGTTAAACATAGAGTTAACAGCAATCCCATTCCTAGGTATCAACCCAAAAGAAATAAAATACAATGGTACTTCAAAAAGTTCATGGAAAAATAGAATTAAAAGATACTATGAATCTTTCCATGAACTTTCTGAAGTACCCTCGTGTATGACTACACAAACACCTGTACACAAATGTTCATGGCAACATTATTTATAATAGCCAAAAAGTGGAAACTCACTGAGGAAGACACATACAACATTATTCAGCAAAAAAAAAAAAAAGTAACGAAGTATGCTACCTGCTACATGATAAACCTTCCATATGCTAGGTATTAATTATATTGCCCAAATCCTAACAATTTTTTAAAGGTGTTTTCTGAAAAATCTGATGATTTTCCAACATTAAAAGAAAGTGTCAACTATGGTGAAACGTAAATAAATATATAAAAGTTAGATATTTTTTAATTGGTCTTTCTTGGCTTGAGTTTTCTGAAACATTTTCAATGTTTCTTTTCTTAAACATTTTAAAAAATGTATGATATAAATATATTTAAAACACTGAACACGCAGTAAGTATACTGGGAAGTATTATATTATTATGTAAGTATTATTTGACTATACACATTAATGTTAATTTTGCAAAAATAAATATAAAAAAAAAAAATTACGCTGAGTAAAAGAGCTAGACCAAGGGCCGGCCCGGTGGCGCACTGCTACAGTGCGCCGCTTGGGAAGTGCGGCAGCACTCCCGCCGAGGGTTCGGATCCCACATACAGACCGGCCGCTCACTGACTGAGCGAGGAGCAGGGGCAACACTGAGGGTTGTGATCCCGTTGCCGGTCCCGGTCCGGTACGGGCGCGACACTGAGGGTTGCGATCCGTTGCCGGTCACGAAAAAAAGACAAAAAGACAAAAAAAAAAAAAAGAGCTAGACCAAAAAAAACTACATACTGTATAGTTTCAGTTACATGAAATGTTCAGAACAGGCAAATCTGACAGAGATGGAAAGTAGATTAGTGGTTATTTAGGTCTAGGGGAATAGAAAGGTGAAAAGGTGAATATGGAAGTTTCTTTTTGGAGTGCTGGAAATGTTCTAAAATTATATTATGGTGATGGATGCACAATTCTATAAATATACTACAAACATTAAAACTTACAGAAAAATTAACTGACCTGAAAAAGGGATCGTTTCTTATTGATCTGCCTCCATATTTTTTCTCATAGTACTGTAAGAGGAAAATCCACAGTACACACTGCAAGTAAGGCTATAAAGAAGAACATGTAACAGCTTATGACTGAATTGTTGTTTTTGCCTTTGCCAACAGAAGCAAGACCACATACAACAGTTTCCTTAACATCACCAAAAAAATTAATCACAACTTTTTTATACCTGTCATGATAAAAATGATTTAAAATGAACTTTAATACAAATCAAGGTAAAATAATCTTTAGTAAAAAAATCCTTCACATATTTTTCTACCTATGTAACATTCATTTATTGTCAGCTTCATAAAATATAATTAAATACAAAAGCTTTGTTTTTGCTTCTACAGAAGCAAGAACTATAATTAAATAGAATTAATAATATATGAAAAAGCTAAGTATATTTAAGTGTACATGTTCAATAAATGAAAGGTATTACCACTAAAATACAGACTAGCTAGTGTTAAATAACACACTTGACTTTTTATGCATCTTCTTTTTTATGCAAGAGGATAAAAACTAAACACAGTTAAAACCATGCAACCAAACCATTCTTAAGGTAACATGATAACACACAAAAACACTTATTTCTTACCGATATAACAGCCACCAAAAGCCTATCCCATGGATTGTAGGTGTCCTCATTTTTTCGCATATTCTTCCAAGAAAACTAAGACAAATATTATCAAAAATTGTATATGCTGTGCTATGCAGAAATATTTGGATTAAAATTTTAAAAATGCATTTTGTTCAGAAAACATGTATTCTCTATAAATGTCAGCTTTTCATATTAAAAAGCTATGTTCTATACTTAAATTAAAATCTTCCCTGCCCCAAAATATTTCTGTGAGGGTGGGTATAATGAAAAATATTAAACTGAAGCCAAAAAAAAGCAGGAGGGGAGTAGTTAGTGAATAGAGTCCATCAGTAATGTTCAATCAAGAATTCATAACTTTTTTTTTTTTTCAATTATCCAGGACTAATAAAATGTATATCTTTTTCTTTATGTTTTCTTGGAAATATCTCTTATATTTTAATTTCTCTCATCCCTTTACAGTACAATACTCTATTTAATTCTTGAAAAATTCCTAAAAATAAATACTGACTGAAAGCAGATCATATTTCTAATTATATATATCATTTCTGGCATCAAAGAACATGTAATGAACATACCTTCTCCTTTGAGAATTCAGTTTAAAGACATGCTTGAAAGATCCCACAATAATTTTAAATTGCTGCATTCATAATATTTAAATCAAGTAGTATCGGTATGCATTTTACTATGTTCTGTTCAAGAACTAAGATCTCAAACCTTAGGAGGTATTTATTTATGCTTTTAAAATATTAAAATATCTAACAGACCTACCTACCTTTATGAAAGAAATCAGGCAACCTAGAAGTGGATAGATTGGAATGGCCATGCAAAAAGTATAATGAAGAATAGCTGTAACTGTGTATCCCATAAAAAAAGTTACTTCAGTGACTGCAATACAAGCCAAGGCTGTCTAAAAAAAAAAAAAAAAAAAAAAAAATCAGAAAACAAGTGACAAAGTGTTTAGACATTTCGTATAAACTTACTGATAAGTTGGTGCCTCAACATTAACTATGTTGAGGTTCTATTAGTTTTATTAGTTCTCTAATAAAACCTGGAAGCAGAGATGCATCAGTACGCTGATATTCTTGCCACACTAGTTGTTAAATGCTTTCATTATCTCCCTTCATGGAATGAATGATACAGAAGACAACCATACACAAAAAGATGCTGCCAGCTGTCTATGTAAATTCTGTACTTACAAAAGACACATAACATTTTTGAGTATAATCATGTTAGAGTTCATGACTTTAACTTGAAATATTATAAAATGTGACTTACCACAGAATAGATAAATGACCAAAATTCTTTGGTATTTAAAATTTTCTTAAAGGTAAAAGAAGCAATATAAGTGAACAGAATAACTGATGGAACATAGCCAATAAGGCAAAAAACCTGTAAATCAAAAATGTGTATGAACAGTTAGCAATACACATAAAATACCAGAGTCATATTAAAATATGAAGAAATAATTATTCCTCAAATTTTATTCTTCAACAAATCATCCCAACTGAAATTCTGATTACCTGAAGAATTATCCAAATTTCTACAAAATCAATATAAATCATACTTTTAACTTATTGTTAATACAATCCTGAATAAGTCATTTAAACTTAATTCTATTTGTAGCTTTTTATACCAAGTAAAAAACTGACTCTTATTATTTTATTATAAAAAGCCAAGTACAGCTGGTTACAATCAACTACTAGCTACTATTCTAACATACAGCATTTAATATTATTTTGCAAAGTTTTAGAAAAACACTTATTTCATATGGCAGAAATTAATATATAAGATCAGTATGATCTCTGGCAAAATTGATAAGTTTACTTTCAGCACCAACTTCATCTAGCTATTTTCCTTTTTGCCTAATAAAAACCATTCAATGAAAGAGTCTATTATTAGTCATTTACACGTGAACATGAATGTGAGTCAGACTCTTCTTTCATTCATATTTTAAGCCGTCTTTGAAATTACGGAATAAAAATTCTTCTTTGTGAAATTATGTTCAGGCATAAGAACAGACAAGGAAGACCTATGAAGGAAGTAATATATTTAAGTATTCCTAATTACATACAGTAAGTGGTCTTGAAAAACCACTTCAGCTCCAAGGAATTATTTTTAAAAAGTAGTAAGTTATTGTTTTTAAAAATCTCTCACAATAATATAAAGTGAACTGATTACATGTGTTATGGGAGGGTACTTCAAAAAGTTCATAGAAAAACAGAATTAAAAAATATGATTCTTTCCATAAACTTTTTGAAGTATCCTCATATACAATAATTAGACACTGGCTCTATTTTCTATAAAAAAATAAACATCCAAATTATTCAACCAGCCAACTGTCATGTTTATAAATAATTTGTTTTTTAAAATAACATTTTATGTATAAAAAACATGAGTACAACTGATGTTAACTTACCACAGCAAAGAACTTTACAGCATAAAAATATAAACCATAATTAAATGCAAATAAGCTTCCTAGCATCAAAATAAGAACAACAATAAATAAGGGGATATCAACAATAGCTTGTCCAATCCAATATGCAGATGGCCAAAGGCCTGCAAGTTTAAGTTGGGTATAAGCTTTGATCTAAAAAAGAAAAAAAAAAAAAAGGAAAACATTTTAAATTATAATTTTAGACGTTTTACAAACAGAACTAATGAGTTATTGTAGAACTCTTAATTTTATAACAACAAAACAAAAAAGGTCACATTCCAGGCGTATGAGCAATAAAAGTCCTCACACTAAATATAAATTCCATTTAGCTCTTGATTAGGCTCCTTATTTCTGAGATGTAACATTTCAACAAAACTTTTAAGAAACAGAATACAGTAGTACTGCTGAGAAACATAAAACTAAAATAAAGCGAACGGTGTCATAGAGGTTATAGCTATGCAAAGTGAGTAGCCAAAACATCACTGCTTTTGAAAATCTGTGGAAATAGATGAAAAGATAGTTTAAAATGGAAAAGAAGTCTCACTTAGAAAAATTAACCTTGCATGAAAACATTAACAAGCTGCCAAGTACACTGGATTTATAGAGGACTTTCAGCTTAAGTGTGAAACTTCGTACACAGATAATGCAATTGAAAGCCTTTTATGTATGATGGTGTAGTACATAAATGTAAGGTTGTTGGGAAAATAGAATAGTTTGGTCAGGGCCCTCACCTCGGGTCCAGTTGGGTGTGGTTCATCATTCTTTGTAAGCAAATTGTGTGTGTGTGTGTGTGGAGTTAGTATGCATGTGCGCCAATGCATCTTTTTAATGTTGTTGCTACTCTTGTGTTCTTCAGAAAGAGAAAGAGAGAGAGAAAGAGAGAGTGTGTAGAGAGAAGTTTTAGTGAAGCAGGCCGGCAGGCGTTGGCCTCGGGCTTTCATCCGGCACAGCCATGCTTTCGAACCTACGGTTTCGAACCTTCCCCGTTTGGCCGGTTACCTAGCTCATAGAACTGTGTGAAGGGGTGTGGTGACCCAGCCTGGCATGTGAAGGCTTTGTGGCCCAATCTGTGAACGGGCTTAAGGGGTCTGTGGGCTCCAGACCCCGCCTTAGCTCGACAATTGGCCCAGTTCGTGCAGGATTACTAGCAGGTAAAAGAGCCCGACAACTAGCGTGGCTGAGTAGCTTTACAACTGGCGTCACGACCAGGATTAAGAGCTAGACAATTGGTGCTGTGAGGATTCCAGGCCTTAGCCTAGCCAGACAAAGATGTTATTTCTACCAAAAGTAAATAGCATTTTCATGTATATTAACAGTAAATGAAATGATCATAGTTTTTCTATCTTATGCTCTCATTATTTAATCCGAAATTCAAAAAAATTTTACAAATCCAAATATCTAACAATATTATTCAGTTAATTTTTGTCATCTATACAAATATCTACTAAGAATTAAAGACATTATATGAAAGAGCTGGCCATACAGTGAGATGGAAGAAGGCATGAAAAATAAAGATTAGTTAAGAAGAGGAGAAATGGAAAAAATGGACAAGTTTTGTGTTTAATCAATTGTTGGAACATCAGACATATGTAAATTCCAATACAAGTATAAAAATACAAACCAAGTCAAATATAATTATTTTGAATAATTCAAGCTTTTGTCATGCATACATTGCTGGTGATAATGTAAAACGGTATACTCACTCTGGAAAATAATTTGGCAATTTCTTATAAAACTAAACACGCAACCACCATATGACCCAGCAATTGCACTCATGGGAATGTGAAATGAAAATTTATGTTCACACAAAAACCTGTATGCAAATGTTCAAAGTAACTTTATTCATAATAGTCAAAAACTAGAAACAATCCAGATGTTCTTCGATAGGCAAATGATTAAACTACTGTGGTATATTCCATGAAATACTAATTGGCAATAAAAAGAAATGAACTATTGATGAATAAAAATTGGATGAATTTCCAGGGAATTACGCTCAGTGAAAAAAGCTCGTCCCCAAAGAAAACATACTGTGATTCCATTTATACTTGAAATATCAAAACTATGAAAGTGAAGAACAGATTAGTGGTTGCCAGAGGTTAGGAACGGGAGAGGGGTAGCTCAAAAAGGGAAACAGGAGGGATCTTTGTGGTGATGGAACTGTTCTGTATCTTGATTGTATCAATGTCAATATCCTTGTGATATTATACTATAGTTTTGCAAGATGTTATCACTGGGATAAAATGGGTAAAGAGTACACAGGATCTCTCTGTATCATTTCTTACAACTAAACATTAATCTACAATTACCTCAAAATAAAAAGCTTAATTAAAAAAATTTAAGTTGAAATGACCAAAAAAAAAAAAAAATGTAATTGAATTGTTCAGTAAGTTTTATCTTTGAGTGGTGAGGTTATGAATTTTTTTAATACTTTTCTATATTTTCTGAACTACAATGAATATATATAACACAAAATTTAATATTATTTTTAAAAATCTCCTAAGCCTAATGTATTACTTTTATACTAAACAAATTAACAAATTTTTTATTGAAATTAGAATTTATTTTTATTGAAATTTATTAAAAACAAAAAAAGAGCTTAAGCTCATTATCCATCACACTCTGTAAATAAAGTTAGATAAACTTGCATCCACTGAATTAAGATCATCCAGAGAGAGGATAACAGTTTTGATTTGAGGAGTAAGATTTTGATCTTAGCAGAGTGATACACTTTGAACAGCTGAAGGACTGTATAAGATCACTGCGTGCTTGGAGGTCAACTAAAGAGAAAGGTGCCGAAAAAAAAGGAAAAGAATACCAAATAACTTCTGTATACTTAGCAATTTTTCCTAGGCCCTGGTGATAACAATCCTTTTTCACCTTTATTTATTTTTTCGTTTCACAAGAATTAAATGCCTTGTACTTGTACTTGTAAAGGGAAGAGGCAGGTCAGTGTGTCAGTTAAGAACATAAAGATCACAGTTAATTCCCAGATCCACCATTTAAACAAGCTGAATCAACCTCGGTAAGTCATATGAAAACTCCCATCCTCCATTTCCTGACCTATAAAGTGGATAACATACAAACTAACCTCACAATGTTTTAAGAATCTGAGGATTTAATATTTAAAGCACATAACAAGTACTCAAGTAATAAATATTATTTGTTACTATTATTACACTAATAAATTATAATATAATAAATATATTTACAACACTCCACTTACTTATTCCTGCAATAATAATTATACTTAAAACTTGCAATTATGAAAATAGGTTATTTTTTTATGACATCTCTTATTACCAAACCATGTAATTTTTTAACTGACTCATTACCTTATGATTCTCTGCATTTTCCATGGCAAAGTAAGGTGGCATTGCAGCAACAATGATACCAAGCAAAGCTGCTTGAAAATACAGCTCAATTTTAAAAACTATGTCAGTAATTTCCTGAAAGACAACCACAGAATAAGAAATGAAACTGAGAATCAATTTATATCATCTTAATACATCCTAAAGAATATCAAAACTTCTGACAAACACATTAGGATAGCTGTCCTAGGCACAGTCTATATGAAAGAATGGGTGGCAGATTTGTTAACAGGCAGTGGTGAACTATGGTACCAACTCTGTCACTTATTAAATAGCTATATGATCCTGAGCAAATCACTGTACTTCCATTTCCTCATCTACAACACAAGATAATCTAGCACATAAATTTTCACCATTTAATAATAATAATGTATGTGGAAAGCAATTAGCATGTCTACCAGTGGTCCTATGCAAATGATAATGAATATCTGAGAATGATCTTTAACGCTCTTCATTGGTTGTCTGTACTACAGACCATCTGGGATCTTATGGCCCTCCTTTCCTCTACTGAAAAAAGCTGAAGCTGAGCTCAGCATCCTATGGAACCAGGAACTTCTCCCAAGCAGGGTAGACTTTAACTCCCACAGGTCCCAATGTCTCTAGCTGCTCCAAAGATCCCTGTGCAGTCAGCTAACTTTACCAGACAAGCCAGTAAACAGCTGGCACTTCAAGTGCAGAGTATCCTGGACCAAGGGTACTGTATTATCTCCCACCCCCAATAAAGACGTTTTCCTACCCTTGTTCTGTAAGAAGACACACCCTGCGGGCAGGGAAGGTACTCTGCACTGGAATGGAACCCACACTGTGTTACAGACACCTAAGCCCTGGCACACCCCTCCATGGGATGATGTGAAAACATCACTGTCTTGTTGACTCTGGCCTTCTAAGTCTTCGTATTTAGCAATAGAGCCAACGCCTTAATTCATGCTATGTGACATTGTAGAATTTGTCCCAAACTCTGGTACATGACAGTGGAAGGCCTACATAGATCCCACAAATATGTAAACTAAGTAGTACAAGAAATAGAGATTAATGAGACTACACTTGGATTCAATCACAAGAATCTGATGAAGGAAGGAAAAAAATGTGGAACATTAATAAGACCATATCTGAATAGTTAGCTTTAAAAAGTCCCATTTCTTTTTCTCTCTTTTCAAAAAATGGTATGTTTACATGTCAATGTTTGATGGAAAATGTAAATTGCAAGATCTTTTGTAATAGTTATGGATACATACATATGTAGTAACATCACAAAAATATATATGGGAATTATAAATTTTGAATTATGGTTACTCCTGTGGAGGAAAGAAGGAAATAAGACTGGGGAGCAGTAACTTGGGATTTTCAACTGTATCTTTAAATAGTTTTATCAAATAAAAACAAGTATGACAAAATAACATCTGAAGCATTTAAAAGATACATGCTTGTTTATTTTCTGTAGGGTTGAAATATTTCACTATAAAAGAAATCACAAAGGATGATCTATAACTTCAATGATTTCAATATCATCGATCCACTAGTGACTCACAAATATTTATTTCCTGTACAGAAATCTCTCCAGATTCACATATCTAAAACGCTTACTGAATGTCTATCAGGCAAATGCCACAAGGATAACCAATTCAGTAGGTTCAAAACTGAGATGCTTATATTCCACAAAAGGAACACAAAAATCTCTCTTCTGCCTGTATTCTCAAAATTGGTTAATAGTACTAGGCACCACATTACTTAAAACTAAGAAATGCGAGACTCTTTCCTCCTCGCCTCACGAAAGCAACAGTGATCAAACTATGCCACTTATTTTTTTAACATCCCTCTATCACTATTGCTACTGTTGCTGCATTACTTCAGACAATCATCTCTTCTCAAATGAACTATATTAAAAGATTCTCCAAAAGGAATGAAAAAGAAATCTCTAATCTAATTTCTTCAACTTTCTTTCCTCTTCTACACCCCAATTCCCCCACAGAAATCTCTCTCCACCCTGGTGTCAGTGGTCTGTCCTCATGCTCATGTCTGAGTTTAACTATAACAAGGAGAGTACTAAGTTCCTCAACCTGATTTCCATTTGAAGATGGCTGTTATCCTTACCAGCTATTTCTTAATAACCACCAAATCCTTAAATTTCTACCTTTCAGTATATTTCTAATCTATTCACATTTCACGATAACCACTGTTATGTACCGTAGTTCAAGCCACCACTCTCTCTCACTGGAATTAATTAAAAAGTTTCCTAAATGGTCTCCTTGTCTCTAGTCTTGCTCCTCCACTACATTTCCCACAGTACAACTCGGGTCGTCTTTTAAATCATTACTCTACTCATGCCACTTCTCTGCTTAAAACCATTTAGTAGTTCCTGTGATCTATGTCAGAACGGAGAGTAAACTCCTTAAGACAACACTTTGGCCTTTTTAAATCTGGACCCTGGTGAGATCTTAAGTTTCATGTCTGATCATTCTTTCTCTCTCAATTAATGTATTAAATGCATTACATTTCTCATCCACTTTCCCTTTCACTTCTGGGCCTTTGTACTTCCTATTCCCTCTCTCTGGAATACTATTCTCGTTCCAGTGTTCAGGTACCAGTTGCTCCTCAAATTTTCCCTAGATTCCAACGGTCCAATCACAATGGTTTGTGCTGAATACAAGGGTACTTCAAAAAGTTCATGGAAAAATGGAAGATAATACAAATCTTTCCATGAACTTTTTGAGGTACCTTTGTACTCTTTCCATATTCTACCATAATACCTGTATTGATCTGTCATACTGTGAAATACATATTCCATCTCCAGCCCTGGTTCCTACAGAACTCCTAAAACCCTTATAGATAAGAGCGATAGGAGAATCTTTTGTTCTAATATTTAGCTTTTGACACCAGTTCCTCACAAAGAACTCCTAAATCCTTTACAATTTCCTGGGTGATAGGACCATCTTTTGTTTTAATAAGGTGATTCCTTGTAGGCTCCTAAATAAGCCTCAGGATTGGGGCTGGTTGCCAGGGGAACCACCATCTGATTAGAGGGTTGGAAGTTTCAGCTCCACCCACCACTCAATCTGCAAGGAGGGGAGAGGAGTGAAAGGTTGATTTGGCCACCAGTGGCAAGTGATTTAATCAATCATGTCTATGCAATGAAGCCTCCATAAAAGCCTAAAAGGACAGGGCTCAGAGAACTTCCCATTGACAAACACATCTGCATGTTGGGAGGGTGGTGCATACCAACTCTACATCTGAACCTTGCCCTGTGTATCTCTTCATCTGGTTGCTTATCTGTATCCTTTATTATATCCGTTATTAATAAAGCAGTAAATGCAAGTAAGGTGTTTCCATGAATTCTGTGAGGCACTCTAGCAAATTAATCAAACCTGAGGAGGGAGTCATGGGAACCCCCAATTTATAGCCAATTGGTCAGAAGCACAGGTCACAACCCGGGGCTTGCAACAGGCATCTGAAGAGGGCGGGGGGACAGTATTGTGGTACTGAGACCTTAACGTTTGGGATCTGACACTATCTCCAGGCAGATAGTGTCATAATTGAATTAAATTATTGGACACCTGGCTGGAGTCTGTTGGAGAATTGCTTGGTGCATGGAGAGAAAACACTACACTTCTGGTGTCAGAAGTGTTGTGGAGAGTGGCATGTAGAGTAGGAGAAATGCTGTTTTTTCCTATCTCAAATATTATCCTATTACAGTACAGTACTTCTCACACTATATTATCATTGCTTTCTCATTTGTGCTTCCTCCACTACAGTCATCTTCTTAGTCTCTTGTCCACTGATACATCTTGAGCATTAGCAAAGTGCCTAGCTACAATAAACATTCAATAAGCATGTAAGAATAAATGAATGAATATTAAGAGATTACTGAAAATGATATGATACATAATCTTTTGAATATGTAGTAGCAAAGTACATTTAAAAACAGTTGATCAGGAATATAGAAAGTATAGTAAATAATATTATAGCAGAAATTTATGGTTTTATAAAAGGGAAAGGGAAAAAAGCTATTATTTTAAACAATAGGAAAATTAAAAAATGTATAAATGGCTTGGCAGAATGAGTTAAGGATTCAACATGATAGAAAAAAAGAAGCGTAAATACATAAAGAAAAAATGTGAGTTTGAGTAAACAGAATTCTCAGGAATTGATATATAAAATTTAAATAAATTAATATAATATTTTAGTTTGAAGAACTGTGACTACACATGAAAACACTTTTAAACAGTATAAGATGTCCTGGGACAACTGGATATTCATATTCAAAAGAATGAAGTTGGTGGAGAAGATGGCCCACTAGTAGGAGACATTGCTCCTCTCTCCCACGGAGATGGAGAATGCATCAAATGCACAGCCACACTTGGATGAGAAAAATGAAAGGAGGGAGCTGGAATACATCAAGGGAGTAACACAGACGTTGGTGAGTGCAGAAACTCAGGATATACACAAAAAGACAGGAAAATTTCTTGGCCATCACCACCCCATCCCTCAACCCAGAGTGGTGAGGATTCAGGAGGAGTTTCTGCTGGTGGGAAGGCGAGAAGACCGGTGGCCCAAACCATGCACTGTCTGTGCAGCATGAACTTGGTGAACTTCATGAACTTGGTGTCAGGAACTGCTGCAGACACATATGGCTGTGTTGGCCTGGGGTGGAACTTATGCATAGCTGTCCTCATCCTCTGGATCTCAAACTGCTACAGTGAGCTTGGGACCAGGATTTGGCTTTGGACCTGCACCCTTGGAACAGATGGTCTAGTGCAGTGAGGGTACCACACTCAGGACAAAAGCGGTTGAAGTGCACACCCTCCACACCTAGAAAACAACTAATTCAAATGCAGTGCCCACAGCTGGTAATGCTGCCTATGTTGGCAGGATGCCTGTACCATATTTATAGCCATGAGGAGGTGAGGTGCGGGAGGAGAACCCATACATCTCTCTCTCAGGGGCAGCCTCAGCAGCCATGCACCTGGTCCTAAGAAGTTCCAGCACCACCCATGACTGAATTGACCCAGGAAGCGGCATATGCTGAACCCCAGGCTTCTGCAGCAATCACAGATTTGAGATCAGCCCCAACACCCAAGATCATTTCTTTCTGGATCCCGCAGAGGTTTCACTCTCCTGTGGCCACATTATTGCACTGGTTTGTCCACACCTGTGTCCACGCAGCATCCTGCACCCTGGGAAACGCAGGCCAGTGAAGCAAGGGGGCCACTCTCAGGACAGAGGGGGTTGGTGTGCATAATTTACAGACTCACTACACTGCATAATTGGGGTGTTTAGCCACTGCTGGCAACCCCACCTTCTCTGCTGAGCCACCTCTGCAGCCATGAATAGGTAGCACAGGACTGGCATACCTCTCTTGGGCACAGAAACATGCCTGCAGCACAAATGAGCTCACCCAAGGCTGCCTGCACCATCAAATTGGCTTCAGAGGGATCCAGCCCAGTAGCCCACCAACAGCCCCAGTGATCTTGTGCAGGATGGCCCACTCTAGCTGAGGAGATCCAGAGTGTCCCAGTAATGCTCTTAGGGTAACAGGGGCTTGTCCACAACCACAGTGGCCTTGCCCTGAGAACAGCTATAGAAGGCCCAATCATCCCTGCTGGGGGTGAAGGCTCCCATCCAAAACTGCTAATACCTCAACCAAAGTACCCCACTTTAACAGTGGTGCTGCAGACTACCCCAGTGTCCTTCCTGGGAGTGCAGGGCCCCATACTCAAATCCAGTAACCCCACTCAGAGTTTCCCACTTCAACATCAAAGCTACAAAGTACCTCAACACCTGCTTCTGGGGGTACAGGGCTCTGCCAGAGCCCCAGTCAAACCACTGAGTCACCCACTCTAGCTGAGGGGCTGCTGACCACCCCATTACCTACCTCAAAGCCCAAGTTCCTAATCCTGACCCCCAGGAACCTCACCCAGAGTTGTTCATTTAAGCTGGGGACCTTCAGATCACCCCAGAGCACCTATCAAGGCCATGGGACGCTAGCCAGTGTACCAGCAAGGCCACCAGGGTGACCCACCTTAGCCAAAGAGCAATAAAGCAACCAGGCACTTCTCCCAAGAAAGCGAGATCTCACCCATGTACTTGACAACCCAACCCAGTGTCCTCGACTTCAGCAAGGAACTACTGAGTGCCCCAGCACCTAGGCCATAGAGGCACTCAGAGAAAAGTCCAACACTGAAAGGAGTCAAAGTAACCACACAGAGTCTACACTACTGCATCTACTTGGAACCAAAACAAAAACACCCTACCCAACAGTCAATATAAAACACATCTACAGAAGGGAGTCTCTCTCCTCAAAAGCCACTCCTGAAGGAAGCAACTGCTCAACCAGATGCCCAGACATCAATATAGGGATACTAGAAATAGGGGAAAAAAAAAAAAAAAAAAAAAAAAAAAAAAAAAAAAAACAAGAAAATAAAACCCCATAAGGAACACAATAATTCCCCAGCACCAGACTCCAAATAAGAGGAAACCTGTGAAATGACTGAAAAGGAATTTTAAGCAACAATCTTAAAGAAACTCAATGAGATAAAAGAAACTTCAGATAGACGACACAACAAAATGAGAAAAAAAAAAAAAAAAAATCCAGGATCTGAAAGAGTAACTTTGTAAAGAGATAATTTTATTTTTATTTATATTTTGTTGGCATCTGGAAGGTTCTTTCAATACTCCAGTATCTACATTTCAGGTAAATAATATTCATTTTTAAATTATCTTAATTCTTCTTGATTAATACAAAAAATACTATGTTTCACAAAAATATAAGTACCAAAACAGAACTTCCTTGATCCTGAAGCAAACTAATGCTGGGAACTACTAAACTTTAATGTAAACCACCCCCCCATCAAGTTTTAAGAAGACTAGAAGTTCTCATGACATAAATTTCTACAGATTTTGTTTGTTATTATTGCTTAACTTTTAATAATTGTTCTCTCTCTATATATGATATACATATAAAATTTTATCTATATATGTTTGCTTACTTGAAAGAATGGGGTACTCCAGATCTGGATGGTTTCAGTCACATTTAAATGATAAAGATAGTAATTACTAATGATATTCATCAATACAGGTAAAGAATAAACCATAGAACTATTGAAAACAGCTGCAAAAACATAGTCCTACAAAAAAAGAAGAGACTTATTACATATTGTACATGAATATAAATATATTATTGCTACATACTGAACTTTTCTCACCAACTAAGCTAACGCTCATTGACTATACTGAAAAGCAGCTTCAACAAATCGTAGAATATACGATAGATACAGACAACCT